AAAATACCAAAATTTTATCGATCCTGTCAGCAGTGCAATATTTTCTGCTATTGACAGGACGATCCTGTCAGCAGTGCAATATTTTCTGCTATTGACAGGACGATCCTGTCAGCAGTGCAGTATTTTCTGCTATTGACAGGACGATCCTGTCAGCAGTGCAATATTTTCTGCTATTGACAGGACGATCCTGTCAGCAGTGCAATATTTTCTGCTATTGACAGGACGATCCTGTCAATAGCCACAGGCTTTGATTTATTGGAGTTGACATTTTCCTTGTTTCTCGCGTGCAGCGGTGTAGACCTTGTAACAAACGAACGGAGTACTGTTGACAATCAAGTGACCTCAACTTTCATTGTACCTACGAGGACAAGTACGTGTCACAATCTATCCATAGATTTTTTTTTAGTTCGATATAAGGGGACATTTTTGCTGAGAATCAATGAGAGACCATATACAAAATAAACTATGCCCTATTTCAAGGTAAATCAGCCTATCCCTGCCAATATTTGCCCGTTATGATATGAACGGCCAGGCCCAGTAAACCATAGCCCATTCCAGGTTATAACCGACCTATTCCGACCCACATCCATCCGTTGTCTTCCATTTATTTTGCCGGCTATTTCGCTACGCCCAGATTACCCAATTTTCCTCGGCACTCCCCTCAGACCGATAATGTCAAATTGAGTCACAATGGGGCCACTTCTGGGGCGCCATTTCAACCATTAGGCCAAACCCATAACATGGTTTACGTCATCGATGTACGTACGATATTTTCCATAACCTCCTTGATCTGACAAAAACGAGTGGGCGCACTTATCTTGTTTTAAAGGCAACGTAAGTGTTGTTAGTGCTCCTTAAGTCCAGTACTAATCAAATCTTGTACGCATTTTCTGAATATATGCACACAACAGATGCACTTTCTCTGACAATATTCGATAAGACATGTACACATTTCCACAGCACAACCTTTATTCCTAAACATTGCTTTGCAATCAGTATATCAACAAACGCCTTCTTCAAACATATGGAACATTGGGAATTAACAATATAATGAAAAATTCACACGAACCATTTATCTATTATTATAAAAATACATAACTCTTCTCCGTAACTTTGAGAAATAAATCCTTTATAACCTTGTATATTAAACTCCATGGATGAGAAAAACGTAACAGTTAGAAATTCGTAAACAGTGTCAAAACTAAAAACAAATACATGTGTTAACATCAAACTGCATTTGGGCTTATATACACGTATTTGCTAAGCAGAGGTAGGTGTACAGTTACGTTGTGTATTAGAACAATGGTGAGGCTTCTAGGTGCTCTTGTGCATATGTGATTGATATGTTTTACATTGACATCATCTGTTAATGATATGTATTGACATCACTTTACGACCTTCCGGTCTCTGAGCACCATTCAGTCTGAGTTTACATGCATTATTCAAACGCATTAGAACATTACAGGAACCAAACACATGCACACGGTCGTTAATTTCAAACCAACGCTATTTTACCCCTTAGGGGATGAGGATAATATTATGGTCACACACGAACTTTATCACTTTTCATTAATATCTGGAAGACAAAGTCATTATCAATTATACCTCCAGGTTACTGGTATCCAAGAAGCTATGGTCTACATATATCATTCCTTCAAGTTCAACTCTACATATACTAAGAAGTAGTATGCTTTCCTGTGATGTTTCCTCGTCATATACATATCAATATGTTTCCTCGTCATATACATATCAGTAGGCCTGGAACAGCAGATCTAATGCAACATCTGTCTGATCATCTAATAGTAATACTTTTTTCTGCAACTAGTCATACACAATTATCCTGTACATGCGTTTGGCACACATAGTGTGGAACTAGCTTTCAGAGTTGTTCCATTTTGGCTGTATAACACAGTTATAACATTGTAGCAAACAGAACTTTAAACATGTATCTTTTAAAACTAGTACCCCCACAAATGGCAAGAGTGTAATTATATTTATAAGAATCTGTTTTTTTTATAATGGGGGCACACCTACGTTCCAAACAGATGTAGTGTGAACTTTTGTTCTTTTCTAGAGAACGTACATGTATTGTTACATCGTTCAATACTGAGGAAATAAATACTGTACTAACTATAACCGTGAAAACAGAGCCATTACAACACATCTGCTTGGACGATAGATGCTGCCCATGTTTTGACACTGGCTAATATCTGCATAAAAAAGCCTCGAACCACACAACGTAGCTATCGACTAAATATTGACACTGCATGGTATGCCTTTTGTGCATTACAGCAAGTCATTTGACACCAGGTGATTTTTACGATTAATTCTCTGAGTACACATGTTGAGCCAGATTTGACCTACTAAAACAACTCAGTCTTGAGTACTAGCGTGACAAAGTCGCTGCACAGCGGTTGGAGCGCAGTAGAAGAGTCCGAGTGCACGCTCAATACAGGACCTGCTGGAGTTGCCGACAACGGTTCCATTCTGTTCCACTGCCTTTTTCTTCTGTGAGAAGCTCAGTATTTCAACACAGTCCACGTTGAGATCGCAATTTGCAGAAACGTTTACAGTCTTGCAGTTGATGCTACCAGGTCCAGTCTAACCTATTTGAAAGGTGGACACGTTTTTGTTGCCAGTAAAGATACCGCTTCCCATACGAGCCACTCTCTCGGCTTCCTTGGCCATCTTGTCGAACGTGCGCCGACCGTACTCGTTTCGCACTTTATCCCGTAACGACGCGGATCGGTGCGCCTTCTGTCGGGACCGCTGCACGTGCGCTTCTTTCTGGTCATGATGGGACTGGCTCTTCATGTCTTTCCTGACGATAGTTTTGAGTGACTTCCTCCCGAAACTGCGAGTCTTCCGTCATGACGCGCTCCAGGTTCTCCCCTCTGAAGTCGCTCCTTCTCCGCTCGGATCACAGCAGCGCGCGCTGCCTTGTTCTGAGCCGTTTTGGGCCGAGATTTCGTGAGCCCGATGGAAGGCAGCTCCTTTTCCGCCACGGTGGCCTCAGCCCATTGCTGCATCTCCTGGTCTCGTTGCTCTCGAACTCTTCTACTGCGCTCCAGCTGCTGCTTTTCTTCAAGAGACTTTGCTTTGAGGCTGAGATCTCGACGCAACATCTGCTGTTGGTAATTTTTTCTCCATCGTGGTATACTTTGTCTCTATGTCTCCCCGCAGACTTTCTATCTCTTGTTGTCGTTGCTGGTCGACTGCGGTTTTCCGCCGCTCGTATAACGCCACTTCGGTCGCGTTTTTCACCCGCACTCGGTGATGTTCAAGATGCCTGCGTTTCGTTCTCGTCTCTTCGGCCGTCATGGTACGCGCCATCTGTTGTTGCTCAACGCTTTCTCGGAACGCTCGCATTTCCGATTCTTTTTCACGCAAGCGTTGTTCTTGTTCACGTTTCAGCTGCAGTTCCCTCATCTTCTTTTCCTGCAGGTGGCGCTGCCGCCTGGCCTCTTGTACTTTGTGCCCATCCGTCCACGACTGCATCTTACTTCCTACCGCCGCCTCCAGGTCCTGCCGCAACGCTTCTTCCTCGCGCTTCATCTCCTCTTTCCTCCTCCGCATCTCCTCTTCCTTCCTCCTGTTCTCCAACGCGATTCGCTGTTTACGTTCATTCTCTTTCATCTCCCGCCTTATCTTCTCTCGTTCTCTTTCCTCTTCCCACGTTAGCTGGGCGATTGTTTTGATCTCTGCGTGTTCCTCCTCTTGTCGCCGCCGTGCTTCCATCAGTTCTACAATGCGGCGGTCTCGCTCCGGTAGGTCTGCGCCGGACAGGGTTCTCCTCATGGCGATGTTCGACTCGCGCCGCCTGGACGCAGACGAAGGTCTGCTGCCAGAAATGCTGAGTTTCTGGAGATCGCTGAGTCGGAGGGAGGTACTGCGGGTGAGTCTCGTGGCGGACTGCGATCTCGGCGGGTGCCTGCTTCTCGTTCTCCTGGCCTTGTGCGTCGGCGTCCCGTCCTCCGGGTCCGACCTCTCCTGACTGCTCCGGGTGCTCTCTGACGTCATGCTCCGTATCTCCCACGCCGTGCGGCTTCGCGTCAGACTGCCGGGCACGGTTTTTGGCACTTCAGATTTGGCCGCCGAGGACGACACCGGGTCCTCTTTTTCATTCCGTTCTTTTCTCTTCCGCTATGACCTGCTTGCGTATTTCTCTACACTTCTCTAACTTGCGCAGCCTGTCCGTCTCCTGCTCTTGGTACATACCGTGTATGATACGCACGGGCATGCCCTGGGGGAGGTACTCGTCCTCCAGTTCAGCTAGACTCTTGGGCAGAAGCTCGACCGGTTTGATACCCATTCGGGCACACGCCTCGAGAGACCTCGGGCTGGTCAACACGTACCTGCTCCCCTCGGCCTCTGGGGTGTCGAAATTATACAGATCCAGGCGGATATTGGGACTCTTGTCCTCATCCCTACCGTCTTCTTGTTCAAACATGGCGTTATCGATTAACGGCGACGAGCGGGGATGAAATATTGATGAAATCGGTCCTTAATATTGACAAGTTACCCGCCACGGCCTAATTCAATCACGGCAGAGAAAGCAGACTCGTGCCATTATATCATATGTTACACAAATCTCATTTGTGTGTTGCCAATTATACAGTTACAACAGAACTGAGTCAGTACAATGGCACAGACTATCATTAATAAGTAAGCAAGCAATTCTGACTTCTATCAATCAGAAAACAATGCTGCGACAGTCGTCAAAGATTTCTGCTTTCCTCTTAAGCGTACAGAATGTCAAAGTCGTCCCCACTTTGTTTGTTGAACTCATACCATAAAAGTCTCACGAACGACTGAAACGTGACTGTGTGAATTGAAAGGGAGTTGAAATATCGATCAATGTCGGACCGCAGTGACCGTGGTAACAGGCCGGCGAACACGCACATATACCACCGCCTGGGCTCTTCACTTTCACACGGAGGATGATGAAAAATACGCAAGTTCAAGGTGGTGGATCCGGGTGATAACAAAATATTTCAACAGCGAACTACCGGCCTGGTGAAAAGTGGCACATCCCAGGAAAACGCAGGTGGTTTGGTAGGCTTGCCTCAAGACATGGACGAAATTCTATCCCTCCGACGCTTTTAAAACGAGACGGCTCCGTACGTCCGAATGAGCGCTCTCTACCGGCGAAACCCTTCTTGTCTTGTGTGTGAAATCTTCACAATCCTCGCCTTAATACAGTTTGAAACGCCAGACATCTCCCGCCTGGCCGGAGGCGTTCTCCTATTGTCCGGTTATTAGGACATAATCACCCAACCACAACAACTGTCCAGGTGAGTCCTACCTGGATGGGATGCCGCCCAACGGATTCGAGAGTTGCGCAGTACGCAGGGACCAAAACCGTTGGTGGTAATCATAACTGTCGTAAAATCTTAGACGATGAAAAAGGTCGTACCAAACCATAAACATGTCTCAAAACGTTGAAATTATTATCAGTATCAGATGTATAATTATATTTTACACGGAATTTTGTATGTTTGGTTTTCAACAATTTGATAATTATTGAATATATAATATTTTTTCTCTAGTTTGCGATAATGCCGTAAAACGACAACCTTCACTGAAGGTCAAAGGTCGACGTTTCATTCCCGTGGTGTTAAAAACGTAAAAAACTGTCATTTTTAGGGTGAAAAATCATCAGAATGGCACGAATTCCACCTGGACTGATTATCAACCCGGCCCCCGGTGTGCGGTACAAAGTGCCAGCCGTGAAAAAACTCACCAAGGAACTAATTTTGAAAGATAAAGTGAAGTTTCAGAAAAACAGACTTGGAGGTGAGTGCTTTTCAGTGTACTAGTACCAAGGAAGTTCAAATTTTTATTAGTGTAAATTATGTGCGGGTAGGTAATTTGTTGTGACGCCTGAGACATAAATTTCTTACATAAAGAAAACATTAATTGACTTTTGTGCACACATATTTATTGTAAAATCAAGGTCAACACAAAAACTGAGAATAAAACCAGCGTGAAATTTCTATTATTTACAGTATGTTAATATTGGGTCATAAAACCATGTACATGTGTATCATAACATACATCCAAGGATTGTTCTATGTATTTGAATCTTTTAGCTGGTATAACCGCATAATGTAGCAGCTTCGCAGACATGCAGTGTGGCGGCAGCTGGCTGTATTACTATTTACTAGTATTACACCGAAGGACTTGTTACACCTAACCTTTTAACATCTAACTCTAAACATTGTTCAAAGCTATCTAGTGATAAAGTCCCTACTTACGTATAACCCGTTGGTTTGAAGGTGATCATCTTTCTCATCTTCCTCCTCAGCTGCCACGTGTCTCACAGAGATGAGCCTTATGATGGCCTGCTGGAAGGAAAATGACTTCAAGGACTCTGCATGTGCCAAGGAGATAGCTGCGTTCCATAAGTGCACACAAGAGGCAACGGTGAGTAAACGGATCTGCGGAAACACCTTGGTCGCATTACTATGGTTGTTGCCACAGTGATTGGAGGTTTTGTTTATGCCTACATGTCTGTTCTTTGTGTTTTCTTGTACATGTATAATGTCCAAGCAGATTCAGCGAACGTTGGATAGTGTCGGCCAGTGGATACAGGCGGCTAACATAAAGTCCCCTTGCCCCACCGAATCTGCTTGGAGGTTATACATGTACATGTATTTCCATGTATTTCCATATATTCTACATACTAGGCATACTGGAAAGATCTAGCATGTCGGGGGAGGCCTACATGTATGCTTAGCAGAACTGGGGCTGGCAAAAGTAAAAAACTAAAACTTAGTAAAAGCCAAAATACTTCCTAGATGTCTGAAATCTCTGATCTGTTTTTGTAGATGATTGCAGCTACCATACAAAGCTGACCTGTGTCTTAAGTCTAAAAGCAGTTTACCAGTAATATGCAAAACACACAATAGAAGAGACCTAGCCAATGATACTGACCTTGTGTTGCTGTATCTTCCATGTAGAAAGAGCGGCGGAGAGTGAAGGAGGCAGATCTGAAGGGTGTTGTACAGGAAGGACGGCTCAGCAGCAGAAACACCAACAAGTTATTACAAAGATTTCCTCATCCGGTCAAACCTCACTAGCAAAGATGAATATAGGTAGAACCGTAGAACTGTGCTCTAATTGTATGAAATAGACTTTGGTCTCACAGAAATATTAGTTCAGTAAGTAGAATGGAAAAGATTTACCAGCCATCAGCATCTTGCGAGTGTTTTGTTCTCTGCATTTTGGATTCTCCTAAAGATTTTTTTCAGTTACTAGGTTACGTAAGAAGTATGTTGCATACATGTACATGTACTCTAGTATGAGCAAACCCACATTTTACCTACTGTGTAGTATGGAAAATGGAAGTAGCATCAAAAAGTCAAGTGGAAAGGACATGCTCCGGTGGCCAATTTGCTGATCCCATTGTATGTTGGGGGATATGGGGCACTATTGGTTGCAAGAGGGCAACCAACCTCATTACCCATTATGACAGTATGTTTGCATGACATGTGTAGTGTGTCCAGCCTTGTCCATGTTGTCAATGCTGTTTACCCTCTGAACTACTAGTACCCACAGTGCCTTTTTGTCTCCCAGCATGCAATGGATTCTGTAAAAAAAAGGGCCTGTACTCAATAGTTGTAAAACCAGGTGTCTTATGCCTCCATGGTAGAACATATTGTAAAGATAACTGATCTCTGTGTGCTCAAACCTTTCAGTGAGTCATCATAACCTCAGTACATCAATTACTAAGTACTACTAGTACTAGTATCTATGGCAATCTACTAAGAAGCGATACGCAAAAAAGGAAGTGAATGAAACACATGTACATGTATATGGAATAAAATCAAAGCAAGGACAAAGTAAGACCTAAATTAACCCATATCTGAACATGTTTCTATTATAAGTTTGGTAATCTAGAATTACATGTGATTGGTCAGAAACAACACACAAGTATGACAATGTACATGTACTAGTAATTCATATTTCTGCTATAATCAGTGATGCTGCATAGTTGAGGAGCTAGAGATGTAAAGCATTGTGGGATACTTGGGTGATTCCATTTGAAAAAGAGTTTTTTTAGCTCTATTTGGACTTCAAAGCAACACCTGACAACATGACAGGTAAATTCAGTTTCAGGTGAAATCATCAAAATTTTTTACTACATTTTGTTGAAGCAAAAACCCCTAACAGACTTTACATGTTCAGTACTTATAAATTACACTCTTCCAAACCAGTCCTTTCAGTGTCCACAAGATCCCGGAAAACCCGCATTCAGGCTCAAAGTAAAATTCCTTCATTGTGTGAATAACATCAACATCATGGCAATCCCTCGACACTAGTCCTGCAATTTAGACCAAAAACACAAGGTGTCATAGCTAGATGGACCGCGCAGAAAGGCTATCAGCTGTCCATGGGTGGAATTTATATTCCTATTTGATACTAGTAATCATATTCTGAATTCTTTTACGTCAGATACAACGATGCTCAAGGTCTCCGCCCTAGAGGTCGGTGCCGCCAAAACTAACAATGTGATGGTTTAGCTGATGAGATTATCTCTGATCTCTTTAATAGATTAGGGACATAATTCGGATTTCTCTGCTTTTGGTGACATTCATAACCATAATGATTGTCCACCTTGCAAGACAAAAGCAACTTTCCGTACTGCATACAATGATCGACAACAATACTACACACACACACAGGCAAACAAACCCGCTGAACACACACAGGAGCTCACCAATATGTTTCAACTGTAAAGACTTGTCCGTAACCTGCAGACGTGGCTTCCACTAGGATAACCAAAGTTCCTTCTCTGTACAGTACATAAGACCGTGTTGTTTTGGCTGGCCCTGGCCGCTTCCCTCAAGACCTCGATTATGAAAAGCGGTCAGCAGGCCGATTTGAGTATTTTATGAACAAACTTATGAATAAATGAGACTTTCAAATTGACTGAGCTCTTCAAACCTGCCATGTTTTTGCATACGCATCATCAAAACAAGAGTTGTTGCTGACTTGTCCATTCTTGACTGTTGAAAGCCTCTCGAGATGTATATCTTGGAGGTGTGGAAAGTTTTGTGGTGAGGTGAATGATGCCTTTATGATGAGGCCGGCGCCGGAGTGCCGCCCAGTTTATTACTAAAACAAATAAGCACGCCACGCCGGGTGCCGGAGAACAATGGCCCGGGATTAGCAAAAGAAACCAGGCTAATTTTGTGCAGAGTCTCTGTACAGCGTTCAACTCTCGTATCAACCCAGACTTTAACGTTATCTGTATCAGAAATCAGTTCTTTCGCGTGTTTCCGAGATGAGGAAAGCAGTTCTGGTGTCTAGGCATCGGCGACAAGTTGGCCAAGCTCGCCGGGCGACTTCCCAGTATGCCGTTCCCACTCGCTACCGACGAGAGCGCTTGGCAATTTGTGACCCCATGCTAATCTCCGTCTCGTGTGCTAATCGGCTCTGCTATGTAAACAGTCGCTATTTCACGGGCAAGTGTTGCAAAAACTTTTGACGCCTCCTGTCCCTTTGTGAGGGGACGCCGTCAGTTGCATTTTTTCTCTGCATTTTATTCCCCATTCAAACGTTGTGAGTCCAGTGGAGAGCGTGTGCGTGGATGTGCTGAGCTGAGGTCAGTTGGGAGCTCTGATGAGGGAGTCGGCTACACGGAGGGTGCCTGCCAGTCACACCAGGGTCTAGACTGAGTGTCTGCAGTCAAGAATCCATAAAGGACCTATAATTAACTGATAACGTACCTTCCAGGCTAGCGGGGTTCGCCAGATATCGCTGCGCATAGATCGTACAGGGCTAGCCGGGCACTGACGCGTTAGTCGCGGGTTCTCACTTGGAATACCTTCATATATCCAGCATGGAAAGGAACGTACTTCGCTTGGGATTTCTCTGCTGCTTCGTGTTACTTCTAGTGGCCAGGCCAGGATCAGCGGCACAAGGTACTAGTATCTCTTCTTCTTTCCTTTTTCCCCAAGCGATTTTGATGAGAGTAAAAGCCAGTGTTCATGGCCTCCACACTTTTCATAAGGAAAATTAACATAAACTCTAATATCTACGTATCTGCTGTTTGTCTATACAGAAGGAGCATGATTTTTACCAAAAGAAATTCACAAGCTCAATAATGATTGTTTTCTCGGCTGTGTATGAGGACAAAACCTTTTCATTTGTGTCACGTAACGACGATATTTTGTTCTTGCCCTCCCCAGGATATAAGGCAAAATTCAAAGTGTTCGGGAACCTGCCTTCAAGATTATACAGCTCGGAGTCTGTGGGAAATCACGAGTGCTGCGTTCGACACAGGAAACTTGTTTCTGTTGGCTATGGTAAGTAGAAAAGTCCAGTCTTGTGAGCCATTTATTTGCTTTCCATTGTGGAGAGTTGAATCGGCTTCACGCTGAGAGACCCACATGGACAAACTTCTTTTCTTCTCCCTGTATACCCTGCACAAAAAGAGCTGTGTGACTACATCGTTTGTCTATTAGTTAAGGTTGGAACTTCGGGATCTTTAATCGCATATCTTCTCTTCTTACTTCAGATATTTCTGGCAAGGAAATGGTGGTAGACGTCGGTCACTGTTCCAGAAAATGTGCGACCCGTTCTGACGAGACGGAGTCCTCCAAGACTGACGACTTTGAACCCCCGGCAAGACCCCTGAGCGCGCTGGACAGAATCAGACTTCAAATGAGACAACGGGTAAGCAGCTCTTATTTTGCTATTTGAAATGTTTGTGGTCCTACAATATCATAGAATATTCTTAAAGCCCTATGCGCATAGTTGTCTGTTCTGCCTAAATTATGTGCTTTTGTCCTTGCCATGAAAACACGCGTGTCCTGTTCAGTGTGCGCCAAACACCAATCAAGGCAAATTTGGATAAGAATATTGAAGACAAAATTGCTGTCTTTTTTTTCTCCAAAATAAATTTTAGAAACTAAAATTGATATGTGACAGGTTGAAAAGATGTTGTGTTACCTGGGTAACTAGTAGAAATCCTCACTTCAAAAATAGTTGCAGAAATTCAAATGAATATGAAATGAATTATAAAAGATGACGCTGAATGTGCCTGATTTTGATTGATGACGGTTCATGGCGCGATCTTGACAGCGAGGTGAACTGCATCTTGATGTTCTCACATAAAGTTCTAGTAATACTAGTATGTATATAATTTTAGATAGCTATGTTATTATATTTATTGGTACACGTTAGATCGACACACCAAACAAAATCTTAATAGACAAAGAGATTTAGAAAGCCGCATGACTTACTAGTATGTAATTTATAGGAAACGAAAACAAATTAGCTGACCATTCAGTCATAAACGTGTATGTAAAACATATGTTGAATGGGCCCAAAACTAAATTTATCATGTAGGATTTCGCCATAACATTTCATTTTTTTCATTTGAAAGCTCCTCCCTGGAACATATAATTTCATAACGGTATTTTTGAGACATACCCGTGAAAGGCTCATTGGCAACTGTTGTACACAGGAAAGACTCGCCTCATGTACAACCGTCAGGCCGAGGAGAATATAAATTTGTCATGTTTAACTTTAAAGCTACAACAAACAAATCAAAGGATGAAACTTATGACAATCACCCGCCGTGCTGAACAACCCTCCAAACCCCGCTGTTTACGCAGTTTTATAAACACAGACGCAAACAGATGGCAATGTGTCATTCAAATCCCACCAGTTGGCGCCACATGGCAGCCGAACAAAACTCCTCAATACTCCTTCCCCAGGTGGCCCCACTTCTCCCCTTTGTTTTGAGAAAAAAACGGTGCGTGATTATAAGAACAATACGCCAAAGGCTTTTCCCAAAAGACAAGAATAAAACGTCCGTGAAAGTTGAATCATCCGTGTCCTCCGGAGTGACAGAAAGTTTCCTTAAGAAAAGAAGTGTTAAGGAAATGTTGAATGAGTAGACGACAGGAGTGAATTTGCAAGTGAAGCTAGTCTGAGGGTTTTTTTGTGTGACTGGTCCCAACCTCACAGCACCATGACCCGAGTGTCGTCTGTCGTTGCCATGGAGATGATCTTTAGATGCGGAGGATCAGACGGAATAGTCGCCCGGAATTATCATGGTAGCCAGGAAGGGAACCGCTGGAATGCTCGCTTCTGTGCAAAAGAAGCAAAGACGGTAGCAGCCGGACGCATTCTCCCTAAAAAAAACTTGACAATAGTTTGTTCGAAGATATCTAAAAATAAAACAGGATGAAGCCTCCTGTTGTTGTTATTCACGTGTCCCCGGAAGTGCACATGTCTCTTACACGAACAAGATCAGCCATACTCCGGACCGTAGTGGGCTCAGATTTATGCCTTCGAGTTTGTCTGTGAACAGCATAACTTGAGAAGTGCATCTTGATCATGATGCAAAAATGTATTTTGGTATGTTGGTAGGTTGTTTACAAAAACAAGAAATTACTAGCTTTTGGACACTGGCGGCTCTCTACGGTACTGCAGTGGAACTTTTGATATCTCGAGTCTTTGGGGTGGCAGATAGCAGTAATCAAGTTTTGGCCCCTGGTATCTTGTTGTGGAACTACAGGGGAGTTTTCAGTAAAATCTTCAAAGAGGAGAACTTTAGGTGTTAATGCATCGTCGTGATTTTTGGTTTGTAGGTAGCTTGACATACTAGTAACTAGATGGCGGTTATGCAAATCAGGATCTAATTTGCATGATTAACGAGGTGCTTTTGCAACTGTGCTGCGTTTCATGATAGGACTATTCAAACGTGCGACGTATGTAAGCGAGAACAAGAACAAGAGCAACATCAAACAAATATGAATCATGCAAATAAAGGGCTAATTTGCATAATCAATGACAAAATGCTAATAATTCCATAGTGGTAAATGGTGGGAATCTTACGCTTGTGGCATTTGCAAGAAAATTACGGTGAACACCGTTGAGCATAACTTATGTATAATTTGTCGAGAACAAGCTAGAATAGGCTTCTTTCTTCGTTAGGAAAAACAGCTCCTGTTATCTGAGTGAAGAATTTGATCAAGTGATATGTTTTTTGCAAATGATGGCCTTATTCAACAGATGAATAACATTTATCAGTCACTTATGCCTGACCAATCGCTCTACGTTTGTGTAGGCTTCTGGAGGTACCGGTGCCTCGGGCCCCTCACATCCGGGCGAAGAGGATGGTGTTGGTTGTCAAGGAAACGGGATGTGTGAGCCAACCAGAACGCGAGTTCAGCAGCTACAGTTGATGGACGGGCCGGTGGACGTAGAGGTCATCGAAGATTGCCACTGCGCACCTAGGCCGCCATCTTGCGAGAGGAGCCCGCGGAAAAAAGTCTACTTCGCCGACACCCCGTTTGAGGCTGAAGTTGACATTGGTGTCTGTAGGGGGCGCTGTTCAACAGGTGAGCGGCACACAGTCTACATTCCTTTCTTGTCATGTAGGCTCATTTGGAAACTCGATGAGTGGAATAATTTGGTCTCAATAAAAGCCGACTAGCGGAGGTCCAGTCAGTTGGCCCGACTGGTCGAACTAATAAGAAATTCGAAGTGTTCTTTCTTGCTCGCTTTCAGCTGCAGTCTTTATCAGTACCAGTCAATTGAAAATAAGAGCATAAAATTGAATAAAACCTCTAATATTGTGATGCATATCGAAGTTGTTCATCACAACCACGCACTGTTACTCATGTGACATATTTTTCTTTCTTTTTTCCCCTCAGTGACATATTTTTCTTTCTTTTTCCCCCTCAGAAAGTCACACCGGTTGCAAGGCTGTGAAGAACGGGACGGTGACCATCACTGGGCCTAACGGTAAGGGTAAGGACCTTCGGCATGCTTCTGTCTGTGTCTGTGCGTACAGAAGTCCTAAATACATGTCTTAATCGTCTATATACATGTATTAGTAGATATATGTGTGCTAATAGATTGAGTAATAAAACTGGCCGTTACTTCCGTTTACTGAAGGAGGCTGAGCTGTGGGTTTGTGTGTCTGTTTGTCCGGGCAGAGTAGGTTGACAACACGTGGGCGGGGAAGATTGACAGGCAGAATGACAGGAGTTTAAAGGATTAAAACAGGGAATGGGGTACTCTTGACGGTCACGATAATCTAAAAGTAAATGTTCATGTTGTTATAACTTGTAGTGTGCTAGTAATAGTGATATCGGTACCGTAGTTGGTACTGGCAGTGAGAGAGAAAGAAAATGAAAATACATGTATATATTTTTTTATTATTCAGGGAACCAGTGTATAGACGTGGTGAAGGAATGCGCCTGCACTGGAGACTGTTACCGTACCAGCCAAAGAGAAGTTTACTACGAGTCGTTCTTCAACGAAACGGCACAAGAGTTCCAGGAGAGGGAAAAGGTAAGGAGATGAACAGATGATAACAGAGCGACCTAAGTGTCTGTACAACTTTCATCTGTATTTGACTCCCGTCGTGCTTAGCGCTCCTAATCCCCAAGAAGATGTAGGGTGCGGCACAGTGTTTTATGTGTGTTTTGTACCTTTTAATACCTCCTTTCAAATGTTCCATGCTTTTCTCTCTTTTCTTTTCCGAAGAGTATAGAAAGATACACTACTGACAAAGACTTACAAGCACTATAAAATCAGTCGTAAAACATTTGGACTGAGTCGGATCCGTACATCTGCTTGGAGATTTAATATTGTTTTAAGCTTTCTTTAAAACTGTAATCTCATAGTAGACATGGTTGAACATCTGTGCTAACCATTCCTGTGGTTGTTTTTGTTCCCAGGAGATAGACGTGGGGAGGTGTATGGGGTCCTGCACGGAGGGACATCACCGCTGTGTCATGAGGTCAGTACACCCAAAGTTTTGACCTGCTCTCCAAGCAGAGGTTTTGGTTTTGCCTTATTTTTGGCGTGTTTTGCACTTTCTTTGCCAAAAGAAATTCCAGTGCAAAAAGGAACCCCCCCCAAAAAAGCTCAAAAATAAGCCAAACCCAAACCTCTGCTTTGAGAGTACACGTAGTTTTGACCTTGTGTTAAGTCCAGTTTGGTGATTAGTTAGTAGTGTTGTTTACCACAAACATTTGAGAACCATTGTTCCGGGGAACGCTGGGCGGGGAGCGATAATTGGGACCACCATCGGGGGCTGCCATTCAAATACAGGTGCCATGAGGAAAGGAAATTCAAATAAAACAAATTCAAGTAAAAATAAATCAACTCAAGACAAAAGTCGAAGACAATGTCAATGACCATAGAATGACGATGATTTCTCAGTTTCTAATTTTTGCTCTTGTTTGTCTCCAGGTCAGAGGACGACCCGTCCGTCTGTCTGATGTCTTTGTTCAGGCCGAAGGGTCGCTGTGCAGCCACGAGATTCACGGAGCACCGCTTCATCTCGCGAGAACAGATTCTACAATCCATCCTGGCTATAGACGACTGCGGGTGCAAGTAGTAGTACAGGTCCACACACGTGTATGTAGCAAGATCGGACTTAAAAAAAAGCTGAAGAGCATCACCCGTCGTACAGCCTTGAGCTGAGAGAATATTTAAGTTGAAAATGTGTAAGACTCAATGAAAAATACTGAAGAAGTGAACTTGATGATTCCTTAGACACTAGTGTTGATTTTATCGCCATGTTATACAGCTGTGGTCGGCTTCATTTTTATTGTAAAAGTTCAACTCTCCAAACGATGGCCTTACGAGTTTGAGGCTTTCTTTTTCATGCTGTTATAAAACCCACAAAAGCCCAGCTCGTAATCTTGCTGAGAAAGCTACTTTGTTGGTCCTTAGAACAGAACTATCCAGAACAAGTGGCCCCAAAAGTTTGACATTTTGTGCTTGTACAGAGTAAGCTGTCACTGCCCTATACTATAGATCGCAAGGAGTTGTGTAGATCTTTGCGAGTATACTCGTATTCTGTAAAAAAATTATTGATATCGGTGATTTGAGTCTAAATTATTGTGTGTAAATATGTTCTATGCTTAACGCCTTGTGTGTGACGACGACTTCATTTTGTACCTGCAAAACCGATGCGTAGAAACCCGACCAGGACTCGGACAAGTAGGGAACCGTTATATGTAAATATTGGCTTTTCCGTTATGTTATTGTCGTTTTTGATCACCTGGCATGGAAGGTACTACTATACTTATTGTTTGGGTGCCGTTTCTTTTTAAATACCTCATAGTTTGAGGGATAAGAAACCTACAAACGTTGTACTGGCGCATGCCATCAGCTGTGGAGAACCAGACATGTGGAGATTATGCCCTTTTCCTCCTAATTGTGATAATGAGAGCGCATAATTGGAAAGCTTATCTGTACTGTTATTATCCCACGCCAGAGAGTCTGCCCTTTGTGACTCCATCCTTGTCTTGCTAACCACCAGGCCAATCTGCAGCGCGAGGCATTGTTCTCTTCGGGAACAATAAGACGTTAACTTCAACAGTTGTTTTTATTGAATTCTAGGTATGACATATGTTGCCTTAATCAATAAATGTAAATATTCTCTAACACTGAATATATTTTAGTCTCCTGGTTTTGATTTGACTTGTTTTATTTAAGATTTAGTTTGATTAGTAAGAACAACAGAGGATTTCTGCGACCCCCTGTTTATGTCATCTGTGTTTCTACAGTAATAATGATTTGATAAGATAAGATCTTATTGGGGGTGCCTGGAAATTTACAATTTGACAAGAAGCACCTGGTGCCCAAAGTAGTTGTGTCCCAATTTGTTCATAACCGTTTGCCGAAAGAAGTTGTACCGGTCTTCCATTGCACTTGCAAGTCCCGAGTCGGACACTCTTTTATTCAACTTCCTGTCATTTGGCAGTTTTCTTTTTGCTAGTATGTACTGATTGCTTGCCGAGATGTCCGTCCGAATGAAAAATCAGAACCTACCATGCCAGAACCACACTTAGTCACGTATACGGTTGAAAACGTGATCGTTGCGGTCCGAAGTGCAAGGGGAGATTGCACCAGTCTGCCTGTAGCCTCTACCAGGCACCACAGAGCTGGAAAAATAGTAGAAATTGGCCGTCGCACATCGGATCCTCTCTCTCTCCCTGGCAGAGGCTAGTCTGCCTGCAGTGCCCACGTGTTCCTCTAGTTTTACGGTCTGTTGGTTTGTCTGCACAAGACCTTGCCATAACAATGTTCTAATTATCGACAGAATGTTTATCCTCACACAACACTTTCTCACCTCCCCGTGATTCACGGCCACACCTGGAGCATGGGTGTGAAGTTTTAACTAGTCTACACAGACCCGTCAAAAACCTGCCACTCTGATGAGACAAAAACTTGTTCGCGCCCTTGGCCATTTTACACGTATTTCCTAAAACTTTTTGCCGTCTAAGTTGTTTACGTTTTCGGCGTGCTTGAAAGGCTCATCACAGAGCCCGACAAGGTGACACAGTAACGTTCAAGATGTAGCATGTAAACCGTTAAACCATGTCACATGCTACTGTGGCCAAAAAGTAAACATTTTACTAGTAATGTCACACGTGGTCCAGGCTTCCAAGCATATAATATGTAGTGTAGCCACTAAACTGTCTGACGGTACGATACTACACCTTGATACTACAGTCTTTTGCCCTTTTGTCAGTTTTGAAGTTCTACTAGCCTGGTACCGCCCTGGTTACTAAGTAGTTTCCGATTAAGGTGACAAGGTGTAGCTAATAGGCACTGCTCTGGCCAATGGATACTGTCTTGCCACCTTAGGATCTGCTTGGAGATTACCAAGTTGTCATCACGATATTAAACTTATCATTAAGACATGGTTGTATACAGGAGGGTCAGGTATTTCCTTATATGTTCTACTGGCCGAAGAAATTATATTTTTAAGGGAAATTAATCGCCAACCGAATCGGCCCTGCCTCTGTCCCAGCCTAGCGACACTGCTTGTCGTTCACCTTCAATCCGCAAGAGGCGCCCATGTAAGGGTGTCTGTGTACCCGATGGGTAGAGGGGCTGGGAATTCTTAAAAGCTCTCCTGGAGTACATTGTACTAGTATTTCAGAAAAAAAAACTACTTCATGTACAGAACAGACTTTATGATGTTGGCCTATAACTTAAGCAACTGGATAGAGATGTCTCAATCACTGTTATTGTTTTCAAGCCCTCATCAAGGACATACAGAATGTATAATGTCCTTGTCCTCATCAACCATCATACATGGAGGCCAAAAGCAAAGCGAAATTTTCAACCGTCCTGAACTTACAACAACTGCTCTGGCGCCATGGGTCTGGGCCCGTCTGTACAGAGTTGTCTCCAGACTACACAAAAGATTTGACCTTCTCAGTGACCTTCACAAGACAAACACGAAGTTAACCATGAAAGCCAGGAGCAGACAGTAGACATAAAAGAATACTAATGACCACCTTATCCTTTGTCAGCGGGTTATCGTTGGTTGTAATTGGGTCAGTTTCCATTTTAAATCATAACCATCTCACTAAAAAGCTCTGGATAGAATTTGATCTTGATTGAATGAATGAAGGAAGGAATCGTAAATGGATTTATTTTCTGTCCTGTTTCTCTGCAACACTTAGTGGGTATTTAGGTGTGTGTGTGTGGGGGGGGGGGGTATTGCCTTCTAAATGGGGTAACGACAAGGGCATCGTCTCATCGCAGCGGATTACAAAAATGATGCCGGTGACCAGAGGAGCTCAACAAAAGCGCACCGGATGCAACATGCGTCTCAAGCGATGGCTGTTTTTCTGGAGAGAGAAGAAACAAAACCACAGAACAGAAACAAAACCACCCTCAGGCCGCTTTTGAGGCATCATGCAGACATAGAGGATAGATAGTGATGGACATGTAGTACAGTATTGACAAGTAAATATGAAGGGAAAACACACACAAAGTTTTGTCACACTGTAAATACAGTTTCATCATTATCATCATTGATTTTTTTTATGCCGTTGCTTCTTGGCGCGCTATCTAGTCACTCAGAAAGGTAAATGCTATAAAGCTCAGTTTATGAGGATGTTACCGCACAAAGCAGCTTTTTTTGCCTGCCATTGAAAGTAAGTTCTGCGGATCTTCCGTGTGCTGAAGAGATAGAGTGAATATTGGGTCTCCACAATCCTAAGTTATACCAATGATTGTCCTCCGTACACCTGGGAAAATAAAGACTTGTGCATCCTATTTAATGCCAAATTCTAATTCAACGGTCGTACTAACAGTGTGTGTGTACAGAATGTAGTATGTACATGGACATTGCGAGGCAGCGCTGGAGGAATGTTTCCTTACGCTGTCTTCAGCAAACAACGATGATGTTACCATGGTAACACAAACACGAGTTACAGCGTCCTAAACCCTCTGTAACTGCCAAAAAATGGCGGGAGAATGTCCAAACCCCAACCTCACAAAAACTCCACTTAATAAGGAGCGACCCCGTGGCACAGGTGGCAATAGGAGATGCCTCACACCTATTGTATTTTGAAATTGCAGGAATTGTTACCTGTATTCAACACAAAGCCCGTAATTTTCTCCCTGAGAAGAGACAACAAAACAGTTTAGTCAGGTGGAGGTAACGACGGTGTTCCTCCTCACGCTATCTCAGTACTCGTCTTTATGTGTCGTCATCAGAGAGTAAAAACAATCATGGCCGGCATTGTGGACAGGATTCCAACTTCCTTAGTCTTGTTTCTATTTTATATCAACAAACAATACGCAACGGAGGTGAGAAATAGGCGAAGATGAAACGATAACCATCTCCCTTTCCAGTGGTGGTGGAGATACATTCTATATCATACACACGTCTTTGTAAATTTGATATACAGTCTTATTTCGTGAAAACAATGGCAGACTTCCACACAAACCCATCGCCCCAGTCCACAAAGAAAGAAAAACAAAACATCAAACGACCAAGAAAAAATCAGTTCAACTGTCGAGTCTGAAAAGATACAGATTGTCCTGTTAAGTTTTCTTTTTTTACTTCAAACTTGACATGGTAAAATTAGGGTGAATACGTAATGGATGAAGATTATAATGGTTTATTGAGCGCAACAGATCAACATGAAGTGACTGCAAGACCAGACGATAGGCAACGATACCACAAAAAGATATTCCAGTGGGCCGTTTTGACGCAGGAATATTCCACCAGTTTCCACTCTTCTGGTGGAATGTAAAGTCATGTTGAATGGGATAGAACCCGGAGGTCGGGCCGCGTATTGTATCCCGGCACGTCTATTTCTGGGGGAACTCTTTACGGGGTTTGCTTAGCCCGGGCCCTCTGACCACATGTCAGAATAATTTGCAATGGCGGGTGGCTGAACAAATGTTGACGACACCACTTCCACACAAAACTGCTAAAAGATTCCCTCTACTAACAAGAGTTAACTTTTTGTCAGACAAAATCGTCCAACTTTATGGTCGCCATAGCAACGGGGGCAACAACACATGGGAAGACGACCGCCAATAGGACGGGGAGGTCCTGATTTCTTCAGCCTTTGGCGCGTCGATTGGCTGCGCCGAGGTGGAAAATATACGGGTCGTGCGTGTAAATAATAAGTTGGTGGTTTGATTGAACAGGTGCTGGCATTGTTTCCTGCAGGACTCCAGGTAAGAAACAATGTCAACAGTCTGTGCGCGTTGCCTGAGGGAGAGAATGCCGCGCCATGGCATCCAAGAGGGTCGGTAAACATCGGGCAGCGCTCGGGATTCAGCGAGGACCGGAGGGTCATGTTCCGACAGGAGGCGAGGACCGGGCAAAACCCGGTAACGGTTCCCGCCAAAAAAATACAATACAGATGTCGTCAGAGAAACGTCATAAGGGGCCGAACAGCCTAGCGTTACAGTTGTTCCCTTTTCTACGGGTTCTCATGTGTTGGTAGTTTTGTAAAAAAAAATAATCTGACCTAAAATGCGGGTATTTTATTACGTTATAGATTATAAACTGACGTTCGCAGCTACAGTGTGCCGTTTTACTTTGTCGCCTTTTCTTCACAAAAACATCAGACTGGGAGGTCGTGCGCTTTTCATACCAATAACTTTCTATAAAAATGAATGGTCCCCAAGCGTCCACTTGACTTAATCCAAGGAATTCATTTTCCATGTAAGACAATTCTGGTGATTACTAGGGCTTAGCTGCGAATATATTGGCACACAATGGTGAAGTGATGGCCCCCAGTGCAGCAATGACACGGTCGATTGGCTCCCGTTAGCAAAGCAAACATATTTGACCAACACTTTTCCTGTTCCAATTATCGAAGCGAATACTCGCTTTTATTTTATAATCTGGAGACAAAGACAACTACACATCCTTCTTGACAGTGTGTGTATTGTTGGTATTCTTCACTGTGCAACGCACAAGCAGAAGATCTTCCCGCCGAATTTTTATATCTTTGGCCATGACTATCACCATAAAATGACATTTTTTCTCTGGAGTGTTTGATCCTGTGTTGTGTCAAAATCGTGTTTGTTGACCACCAATTACGACCGATAGACCTCCCCTGGGTCGGTAAACTTACGACTCAAGCCGACAAGTTCCGATAACTTCCGGTAGCTAACTAGACACTGTCAAAAGATTTGTTCACATCCCGTGAATTTTTAGAGTCAGTCCATCTGAACCGAGCAAATTCCATAGAAAACCTTTTTACAAGGCATGCGGCGAACATGTGTATTTCGTCTTATGTTTGGATTCATTTTTCAATGTGTATTTGTTTGTGTATAGAACGTTCCTTTAGTGTGTCGTAGAAGGCCTAAAAATACCAAATTCATACACAAAAATTCACAAAAAATTATCTGGCGGATACAATAGAATATGTTGCTTCTACTCAAACGTGGGGGTCATCTTGGGCGGTTTGTGACGAGTGTTTTGCACAGAAGACAATACGTTCTTATTTGTCACGAGCTAATTAGAAAAAGGTGTTAATATGACACCTACCCATAATCACCCGGGGCAGATTGGCAGGTCTTACTGAAAAGCAATTGAAATAATCAACATCTCCGATTGGGCGAATCACAGGTTTACAATGTCAATATGCCAATCACGGCCTCAAAGGCTCTTTATGCAGGCGAGAAATCCCCATTGAAATTAGTGACGTTTCTGTCAAGGTGACCGGAGCGAAGGCGGGGTCTGTGCGCCACGTTACCTCACACGCAGTCGGGGACACGCGAGCAGCAACACGCCGTGAGACCACGCTCGGGACTTCTACCTACACTTCTACCTACACTTCTGACAACTCAAGACTTTTTTTTATCTCTCAGACCGTCGCCATGTGGAAGTTTGGACTGCTCGTGGCCTGTGTATTCCTTTTGGACCAATCTGTGGCCAGACCGAGTGTTGGTGGCCAGCACCAAGACGAGCCCGTCATGGAATACGAGGCAATCGAAAGACTGAAGAAAGTTTTCGGACTACCCGAGAGACCGCCGGCGCCGAAGCGACATTTCAGGCCGCCGCAGTACATGCTGGATCTGTACAACACCATTTCAGACCCGGACGGGATCGTGCGATTTCCCAACCCGCTCTCTGCGAACGTCGTCCGGAGTTTTCCCGACAAAGGTACGTCAGCTTTTTTCGCAGACTTCTGATCGGGACGGGGAATTATCTAATCTCATGTACACATTAATACACATCTGACCGCAAGAACAACCTACACCACAGTGTATAGATACATTCTACGGTGTACAGTAACCACTCTCACGGCAGCTGAAACCTACAATGTAATGCCCATTAGAGTGAGGGAATGTGTATTACGGGGGCAGATGGTTATCGATGTTTGTGTATGTGTACTATAGTTGGGTTTTTGGTAGGTTGCTGGGGAGAACGGGCGTGCTATTTGAGCGGCATATGACGTTGGTTTAGGTCCGGTGGACTGTGTATTGTATAAACGTACGTCAGGATTTCAGCCCGCCTTTATCTACAGGTGTTGAGCTAGAAATGGCCGTTCTCAATCGAGCGGAAAATGGCCGACCGTCTTCTAGAGCACCGACACTGGAGGAAGAAACGGTCATTTACATTACAGTCGGGTGTTCTAAAAGGAAAGGCTATTTGGGGGTAGAAAAGACCGTACTAGTTTCACACGTATTAAAAGATATCGCTAGGTTTGCGCGTCACGGGGAGATGACTTGCTTACATGCCGTGTGGTCTCTTTTTGTCCACCTCACGAGTAACATAAGCACTTCCCAATGAAATGTATACTAGTATGTAGTTCTTCTCAAGAAAGGAAGGGGCTACATACTAGTAATGATTTTCAACCACTACGTTGTTTTCACTATATAGAAAATAAGATCTAAGATTTAAGATCATATGGAACAAACATAAGAGAGTTTACTTCCAATCAAAACAATTCCCTATCACCCAGACTTGAGCGCGGTCTTTTGCTTGATTAAATCGCGCTGTAGGATCTCTCACCCTCTTACTGACATAGTCCTAGCGTCATGAGGATGTTTCTTACGTCAGTTGGCTGTTTGCAGTTTTTATATGACCCAGGCAGGTACACGGATGTGTGTGCACATCTGCTGTCAATATTGTAGCTACACACATGGAGTTAGTTCGGTATTTTGGACCGGTTTTGAAACAGGGGCTCGTCAAAGAGAAGACCACCAACGGTTTAAAGCTTTTCTCGGTGGTAGGTGGACAGACAATGGTCACAAAAGACTATTTTTTCATATCTTTGACCAATAAATCTGGGGTTACAAAAGGATGACACTAGAGTGCTGCCGACACAGTCCGTAAGTTCTGGACCGTGCCAGAGAGACTGAAATGCGCAAAAACAGGAGAAATCCTACATGTCTCATGGAATTGAAATGTCTCTGCAGACGAAAAAAAATGCCTGTTAGCGTTTAGATTGAGTCTTTCGCCGTCGCTATTCTGTATAAACTGGGGTAACAATGGTTCTTTCTTCAGCTCCGAGACTTGCTTTTGACGAGAATTCTTCCCTTTATCACGGGTAGAAACCATAGAAGTTCCTTTCATCTGAGCTACAACGAGAAGAGGACTCTTCATCGTTGTGTATTTGTCCAGGGAGGTTCAATGATTTGTCCAATACACTTTCACACATTGAGACTCAAGTGCCTCCTCAACCAGGCGTTGAAATGAATACAAGAGGAAGGTGTGAATTTATTGATGGGTCGCAATTGTCTCCAAGATGTCGGGCGATTGTCTCCGTCGATGGGATAAGAAAGGGACGATTATCACTTCCGAGAAGGAAGTACATTGTCATTAGCAAGAGGACAAAACGTCGTCAACTAATTTTTTTTTCTCTGGACTCTGACCCCCAGGGTAGGGTCTACTTGTTTGAAAGCAACAAGACACATCTGGACAGAAAAGGGGAGGGGAAGGATTAGAAGTTAATCTGGAGTTATTACTAATGTTACTCTCGGACAATTGAGCGTCAATGCGAGTGAGCCCAGAATATTAGCTTCCGGCAGAGTTCTTAAACCCCCATAGGGCCAGGTGTGGTGAACAGTAGCATCACTAGGAAGGCACAGCTTGTCCCCGTAAACAATGTATGCAGCACAGAACGATCGATGAACGAAAGTAACGTAGAACGGATATGTAGGTTCAAACATGACCATAGTATTCAGACGGGTGGAAACTTTAAAAGTTAAACCGACTCCCAATTTATTCAGCAACATTAACGGTTTCTCTCCTGACAAAGAGGTGGCTTGAGAGATTCGTGGCTGATAAATGTCAGGTAGTCGGCAAACATCTTCACCTAATCAAACATACTCCTAGCTAGAGGGTCTGCAGATGGTCGCACTGTGGCACACATGGCGTACACATGCGTCTTCACTGCGGCAAGGCCAGAGGGACGGGGGAGCACACTCCACTTAATGATTTCGTGAGATGAGAATGGACAAGAGCCCAGTCAATAAATACAGCATCTGTTGGGGATATTTGTAGACTTTTTGATAGTGTAGTTATGGGGGCTATCCAGATCACCACGTCCCCATATGCATGCCATCTGTTTCAATAGTCAGAGCGTGGTTTTGGTGGGAGTGGGAGAGATCATGGCGACGTGGGAGAACTATATGACAAGTTATTTTATCGCCCAGAATTCGATCAAGACTGTATATAATGAACGCTCACCCACAATCGTACAGTTACACTGCACTGTTGCTAATCGCAGATAAAGTTATGTCAATGACTGACGGTTCGTGACCCTTCCAATACAGACGTGCTGCACAGAAGTTTCTTCTTCTTCAACGTTTCTTCCGTGTCGACGACGGAAAACGTCCTGGACGCCGAACTGCACCTCTTCAAGGTCAGGCCAAGATTCACGTCCAAGTTCATGATGAGGAGGCAACATTTCTACGAGGTGAGTTAAAGTCTAGGATTACCAGTGTGACGGTCACTATGTAACTGTTAACAACTGAGAATGCGATTTTACAATGCAGAGAATGCGATTTTACAATGCAGAGAATGCGATTTTACAATGCAGAGAATGCGATTTTACAATGCAGAGAATGCGATTTTACAATGCAGAGAATGCGATTTTGTGTCAGTCGAAGAAGCATATACAAAATGTTGTATTGAGCAGAAGCACCACACTCCCTTACAAAAGAATGTAGGAATCATATACATGTATTATAGTTATTATGGTTGAGCGTAGATTCGTTCCGCCCATGCACGGCTAGCCGCACAGTGAAGCACCAACAGTACTGTACGTGTCGGTGAGGTCGTCTTTTCAAGAATTCCAAGTGCCCGGTTACTCACGACCTCACAGTGGCTTTGATATAAAGTGGATTTGATAATGGGAATAAATCTTGGAGTTTGGTTCCATGTAAGTGCCGTGTTTATAGCTAATTCCCCGCGGCCTTTGTGAGGTCGCGACCCGTGTTTGTGCAGGTGTTATCAGACTGAAAACGACTGCATGATAAGTTGTATGACCCCGTTTGCCGTGTAAAGAGAAGGCGTTTTTGATTAGCAATACAAATGCCGTTATACATCGGAATGAATCAACCAACCTTATCCCCACCAACCTCCATCATAACGTATATATGTATGAAATTAAAGCATTTAAAAAATGCAAATATTGGACGGACGTGCACCCATTTCCTCAATGGGTGCACGACGGACGTGCACCCGTTTCCCTGCTAGTGCTAGCGTTCGTTTGAACTTCTAGCTGTAATAGACAGTCAGGATTGGTCCGTTCTAAACGAGAACCCACGTTGTTCCCCCACAGGTGCGCGTGTACCAGATCATGGCGCCGCAGCTCGCCTGGCAGGTCGAGGGAAACCGCCTGGTGTCGTCCCGCCTGATCGGGCTGCACGGCTCCGGCTGGGAGGTCTTCAACATCAAGCCGGCGGTACGGGACTGGGTCGCCGACAAGAACGCCAACTTTGGCCTGCTGGTCACGATAGCATCCTTAACCGGGAGCAGCCTCGACCAGAATGTCATCAGGTGGGTTTCCATATTGTTCATATTCCTGTTCATGTTGCTTTAGCCTCTACCAGGCTTCGGGAGGAGGCTGGAAAGAGTAGAAATCGGCCAAAGCCTCCCGAAGCCTGGTAGAGGCTAGCTTTTACTACTCATTTTCTTTTTGCTGTGTTTACCGTGATGTTTTGGGACATGTGAGTTAACCATTTAATTTCTATTTCCAGATTCGCCAAAAGGAAGGAGCACCACAGAAGTAAGGAGCCCATCCTGGTTCTGTTCAGTGATGACGGCAGATCAAGATCAGCATCCGCGGCAACCTATGAAAGTAGGTAGAACTTTTCACCCGAAAAACTTATTATCAAAACGGGGAAAAAAGAGTCACCATGTGAATGTAGAATGTTTGTTTGTTTATGTTTGCTATGATGTCTTGTTTTATATGATCCTGCGGGAATAGTCATAACAGACAGCTTCCATAATATTTTTGCACTGCATGTGACACTTTACACTACTTACATGCTACGATAGAGGGTGCTGTTATTTCAAACCGTCTGATTGTTTGTTTTATTTTGTCTCAGGTGCGCCGACTAACGGTAAAGACTACGATTACTACGATAGCGCGTCGACAAACCAGGAAATCTTAAACAACTACTACGACCCGAGCCCCGAGACACAGCAGCAGTGGCGGAACGAAAGGACGAACACTGTGGAGAAATCAGCGAACAGGAAAAACAGAACAAGAGTGGAGAGGTCGGCACAGCGGCATCCAACGTGAGTTAGCTCCCGTAGTCAATCTATCCATGATCATCCATCTCTCCCTCCATCCATCTCTCCCTCCATCTATCTCTCCATCCATCCATCCATCCATCCATCCATCCATCCATCCATCCATCCATCCTCCGTCCATCCATCCATCCATCCGTCCATCCATCCATCCATCCATCCATCCATCCATCCATCCATCCATCCATCCATCCATCCATCCATTCATTCACTGGCCATCCATTCGTCTTCCTTTCTTACTTATAGTACATGTACATGATGTACTTCCAAACTAATGCCAACACCCTATCTTTGTTACAGGAACAGACAATTCGAGCCGTGCACTAGACGCAACTTGTACGTGGACTTCGACGCCATTGGCTGGTCAGGTTGGATCATCTCCCCTAAGGGCTACAACGCCTACCACTGCAAGGGCAAGTGTCCGTTCCCGCTGGGTCAGTCTCAGAAACCCACCAACCACGCCACGGTCCAGTCCATCATGAACGCGCTAAGGTCAGTTTTATCAATGCTATGTTGTTATTTTGTCTTACTTCCTGGTACGAGAATTTTCGTTTGAGCTGTTGGTCTGTGTATCTGTTTTTGTTATGGCAGAGTAAGTTGACAGCATGTGGATGGGGAAGATTAGTTGGCAGAATGACAGGAAGTCAAAAGGCCAGGCTTATGAAATTCGGTAAATTTCTGGTGTAATACAGAGTAGAAGATTCACAATCCATTAGATCGCCTGCCATTTATTGATCTGACACACGGACATGTGAAATTTGCCCAAGATTTTGCTGGAACTCTAAACAGTGAGTGGATTGGATTGTTATTCAAATTATTGAAAGAACTGCTGTAAGAATATGTTACAAAAGTTCAGTCCCATTGTTAAACGTTTTGTCTTGTTGTCTCCCCCATAGGTTACAAGAAGACGTGGGCCAGCCATGCTGCGTACCCAACAAACTCTACTCCATCAACCTTCTCTACTTCGACGACGAAGAAAACGTTATATTGAAACAGTACGACGACATGGTAGCAGCAAACTGCGGGTGCCACTAGTACAGAATCGTCACCAGATACAGACTTTGTAAAAATAGACATTCATCCATTCTTCATACATGTAGAACTAAGTGCCGCAAAACTAAGGCCGAACTATGTGAGCTGGTGCCAAGTTGCTTTCAGGATCATACATTCCAGTGCTTCATAGCCAAAATCAATAAAATTTACCAATACGTTACAACAAAAAACAACCCTGTCCAAGAAATTCAAAGATGGCTACAAAGGGCTTCTAGCAGACTTCCAAGCAGCTTACTGGCATTGATCCTGTGAAAGTGACGCTTTGACTCTTGTTGTTATGGTGATGTACACTAGGATACATACATGCAGCCGGACAGGGCTAGGGAAAACGGGTAGCGAGAGGGTCAGAATACAAGCAGAAGTAACCTTCTTATTAATGACCCTTTTATGCAAAACAGTCAGTATTTTTGGTACCTTGGTTTTGCGTGTTTGCAGAGGCACCGGTGCTGTTTGAACTACAGGGAGCATTTTCTCTGGCGCACAGGGAGAGTAAACATCTCTGTTCTGCCCTCAGCTTTTTTCTATAAATCGGCGCCTTGGCCACAATAGCGGTATTGTTACTGTATATAAGGAAATATATCGCGTCAGACATCTTGCCAGTCGGAGGGACAGATTCAAACATATAACAGCCAGTCTGAGCTCAACAAACTGCCACTTGTCAAAATTGTGTAAAATATCATAGGTACTAATAGTTTATTTATAGAAATGTGAATATACAGATGTTCCTTTCTGATGGTTGTTGAAGAAAAGGTATTTTGAGGGTAGCTAGAAGTTGACATCAAACTGAACATATGCCGAGTCAGCACCGATATAGGTGTTGCGACAGTTGTGTGGATCTAATCTCTGTAAAAACGATGTTTCTGTAGCTTTAGTTTATTTATACTCCATACTTTGTACTAACGTGTTACGCATAAGAAAGAGAGGGAGAGAAAGAGAGAGGATTTTGGAAAACGTACACTTTATGTTTGAGATGTAAATATGGTATTTGGAAAATTTTTACACTGTCTCGTCTTGAATAAAAAATTAAAAGAACCAGTGTTTCCATGTCTTCAATATTTACTCCCGGGTACGGAAGTTTTGTTTTGGGTCGCTAGATGGCGCACCAGGTTTGACAGTAGGTTGACAGCACGTCCGTTGGGGAAGATTGACAGGCAGAATGAGACAATAGGTCAGACTCAGGAAATGGGGTGAACACGGATGTCTCTCAAAATCTCGACATCGGGAATTATTGGTTGACATGTGGAGGAATTCAGGAAGCCGAGGATCGCACACATCCCTGACGTCCGAAATCTCCGACTTCTTGTTGTGACTGATGGCAACGTCATAACAGCACTAAAGAGCGATTGGCAGGGTAAGAATGAACTTTGGGGGCAGATAGGTTTACAGTTTACAACCATATAGTTACCCGGACCTGCCATAACAGACCCATTCAATAATGATGATGACAATCAGTCTGGGGCTACTTTTGACCAACCCAAAACTCATCTACACGTCAGTTCTTCATCTCTTGTTTTATGACCGAACCGCTTTGTGTAAACTTCCGGCACTTCCGTCTATCGCTACTGTATCAAGCTACATGGAAGAAATAGCTCTTCCCTAATCTTCTCCCATACCCCATAAAACGTCAACTTGGAGAGTGGATTCTCTGGACAGAAGAAGAGACACCCAGCAACACTTAGTAAAATTGCAGTTGAGGAAATTTGCCTGCAGTGATGCAAGAATTAGTATATATTTGCATTTTCTCTGCCATCGGAGATTTTATACCTAACTGTTTTGGTGAATTCCTTGGACATGTATTATTCATTATTGTTAGTTTATCTGTTTACGTTTTTCACTGGTACGTTTTCCACTGGTACCATACTCCCGGCCAAATTCCTTCTGGGTGTTGACCAACTACAGGGGCCTAACTTCGTGTGTCTGACATTATTTATTGTTAAGAAATCCCCCCCCCCACAACATGCCAAAAAGAATATCTCTTGTTATGCCAGCATGTTCAGCACTAGGGACAGTACCCATGGCGCCAGATACAGTACAGTATTCTTAGAAATGTAGTGTTCTCAATCGATGGTATTTCCTCTGTAACATTACAGCAGATTGCCAACTTGAGATTGTAACATCAGGTGAGAAGCATACTGATATCACAACGACGTTGGAAATCTGTGGTTAGAAATCTATCACACATACAAACACGTAACCGATCATACATGTGCGTCAGTCAATTTCTCTGCGTCTGCTTTGAGTATTGACATAGTGTGAATGCATATGGGACTATAACATTCTGCCTAAGAATGGGACTTTCCTATTCTTATTGTTTGTATAATTCGGACTCCGTTCCTTTTAATTCTTAGTCATAGGTCTGGTTCAGTCTCTATCACTTGATGGAAAAATCATACTTGCATCAGCACTAGATTACAACAGTCATATGATATTGAATACTTATCCTTTCTACGTACACATTACAAGAAAGTCTGTTTTTGACCTCCGTGTCAAACAGAAGTCCTGTGATGTGAAACCGGCACTTATTCACGAAACTCAACACTCAGACCATGCTCAGACTTTCACCTCTTCCTATGACAAACATGGATGGAAATAACGTCATTGCTTCAGTCTCTGCTTGTACTGCTCGATAGTTTCAAGAGTTTCGAGGGAAATCCACTGATAAACGTATTTGGTGGGGATTTTCCTGGCTCACCACCTGTGACGTACTTTGTGGTGACAGGAACTGTGCGTGGGGCAGTCCAGGTATTTAGAATAAATAATGCGGAAGTCCCAGTGACGTCACGTTTAAATATGGCGGCGCTCTAAGCTAAATTGGAGACACAGTCGAAGCGACGTCGAGTTTGTAGCTGTTTCTCGTCGTTTGGAGGTAAGTTTTGCCCAAGTCTCTACTTGCTGGTACACTGACTGTGGTTATAAGTAGTCTGATAGTTGTGGAATTGTCGTGTTGTGCCACGTGGCTGCTGGAAGGACAAGTTTCTTGGGGCATTTCGGCTGTCGATTTCACCAACAGTTTTGATTTTTGTGGTGTTGGCTGTGTTTGCGTGGGGAGGGGGGTCGGTGTGTTGGACGGCGCTTCAGTTCGTACTCTGGCGTCTATTCCTTACGATATGGCCTAGGATAACTTCTCGGTGTGGTTAGAAGGTATGTTTGGAGTTCCTAGGCGTTGTTTGGCCTTTTGGGACAAAGGATTTCTGCATGAAAGCGGTGGTCATTGTTGTCGTTCCAGCGAGCAGCCTAGCCTCACGGTGCGAGTACGTTTCCTCGTAAAAATTATACACCGAATCAGGCCTAAATTATTATTCTGACTAACCACGGCCCACTGAACTAAACTCCCTATGTTACTCAACAGGGCAGGAAAGGGTGGGGTGTTAGGGCTTCCAAGAATTTCCACCTTGTGGTCAGTGTACCGCACTCGGGGGCGAGCGAATTTTCAAAAGCTCTAGATACGGTTTGTGCCCACCAGCCTCGAGTGCTGGTGTTTGTTGTCATATTCCATAAGGTGTCAAGCAAGCGTAGAGGCTGATAGCGAAGAGTTTCTGTGAAGAAAGAAGGACGGTTAGTTGACATTAGAGGAGAGTATATACCATCCACATGAACCTGATCAGCCCGTGACCCGGTGCTCCTTTGTGCAGTCTGACCTCCAACTCGCCTGGGGGCAGGCCTGATGATTTTGTTTGGTGTGAATTAGACCGTGGTCAAACCTCCCTTTATATAGGCCAACTCTCCACACTTCTTCTGTTACTAATAACCCCATCTTGTGTGTAAGAGATATACGTACTATAAAAACTAGCTAACTGTTGAATAGTTGGGTTGCGTGTGAGGGTATCTGAGTTATTTCTAATCTCTCTGCAGATAGAGAATGTTTGCTTGGAATGTTAGCATATACAAACACAGTGGGAATCGTCAAACACTTGACATATCGTTAGCTGGTGCCTTGTGTCTGATTTCTGATGCCCCAACAGTGCAAATATAAGGTGGGCCCATATGGCAACAGTGTCTTTACGTAAACAAAATATCGACTTGAATGCCCAGGTGTGCTGAGTAAGGGGTCTGTTAAGGTGAAACAAACAATAGCTTCAAATCTCTCAGCTGTAGAATGTTTAAAAGCTTTGCACCTTCACCGAGTAAACATGGGTTTAGGTACAGGCCCGGCTTCCACCTAAAGATTTCTTCAAAGTGTTTAAGATATTTGACATATTCTACTTTTTTTACCGTGTCGTCATAGACGGCAGGGGTCCCTGATAATTACTGTGTTCTTCAGTCTTGACTTCCTCAGTTTCTTGTCTTGAACCTGGTTTTGATACTCATTGTGAAAAGGTCATAAAGAGTGACCAAGGCCTTGCCAGGTGGCCTTTCGTTCTCTTTACTGTTTAATACAAAACTCTCCCAGGGGTAGATTGAAAGCTACTGGGGGTCTGTGCCCGTTTGTTACACAAAACGTATTGGCCATCTGAGGGGATTTAATCCGGCTGGCAGCTGGGGATGGGTGGTTGCTGAGTTAAGTGAGAGCGATAAAGCCCGACCCTGTCAGGAGTTTCAGCAGAGATCGTTCCTCAGTCAGCTGGGTGGCCTAGTTAGGAAAACGTATCGCCTGGTCAGCACAGAAATACATACTGGACAAATATCAGGATTTATGAGGTTTTTACACATGGTAGACTCAAGGTTTGATTACAGCTGGGGCTGGTATAAATCATACATGTATGATGTGGTGTCTGTTATGGTTTGGTCGGACTGTGTGCTGTCAACTCATTCTTCACAAAACAGTGAATGATGGATCTGATCAAGTCTGTGTTATGTAGCAATATACTGATCTTATCTGTCAATCATGATTAGTAACTTACATGTATGACCAATGACAGAATGGCAATTAATGGTTCAGCCAATGAGAGAGTGGTATGGAATATTTGCATTTTTATGATATCATTTTATTACAAATAAATATATTTCCATTGTATATTCTGTTGTACTACAGGATTGATTCAACTGCAAAAACTACCGTTTCCTTTCTAAGAATATCCCAGGAAAATACATGAATGTATAGCTCTTTGTTATACATAAAAATATTTTCATTGTCTCAAATAACTCTTTGTATTTCTGGTGCCATATGGACATGATATTGATACATGTACAAATGTATTACCAAAGATGAAATGAGCATACACATGTCATGCTCTAGTTTTTAGATATTAGGACTGACACAGCTATATATTAGTGAATTGTTGACTAATAGCTGACAGGTGTTTTCTGTAATACAATCAGAAAGTCACTGAGTCAGCTTGTGCTGGGAACAACGTCAACATTTTTGTTTATTCTGCAATTAAATACACTATACAAATACAATCAATCATTTTGCTATGTACACCAATAGAGCACAAGAAAACCTTTGCTCATTACATATGATGAATTGTATACATTTTGTACATCATAATTTCAAGCATATGTGTACATGTACTTACGAGGTTACCTAATTCCTTCCTTAATCTACCTGTAAACATGATCTAACAAGTTTTTGCTTACTGCTGGCAGTGATTTAAATACTTAATCCTGTAAAGTGTAATGTTATACTATGACAGAGAGACAGAGGTAAGTATGCAGTTCACCAGCAGGGCTTGAAGTTTACCGGGTGCATGTGCACTTTTGTGCTCCCAATACTGCAATAGAACTGTATGCGAAGAATTTTTTTGTGCACCTCAATTTTAGTAGTACTAGTAGGTCTCTGGTGTACTGTCCGACCTATTCCCAAAAATGAATTCAAGCCCTGCTCACTGAATTGCTGTATTCCTGAATGCCACAGATAAGACCAAGTCAGAGATGATGTATGTATAAAGGAGTGATTTGTATATCAGAATGCTGAGCAGGAGGTCTTATATAGGCCTGCCATCTCCCATTGGTCTCCCCATAACCCCAAGGTAATCTGCAGAAGTATCATCCTACCATGACTAAAACAACCTTTGACATCTTTACTTGGCTGTACAAAAGGGCAATACAGGCTCGTACCTGGGAGATTACTTCGGGATTTGTTACGCTGACGTTCTTGAAGGTAAGAAACAGTCTTCCTTGAGATGGAAGGGGCTAAGACTAGGGTCTGTATGGGGAACCCTGGTAACATTAAATGGTAAATCAAGGTAGGGCATGCAACATTTAATAATAACTTCCGTTGTGTCCTTTCAAACAATCTGACATTCAACTTTGATGTACAAATAATTTGTGAAAAACATAACATTTACCAAGTATTTGTACCTCGTAACAAGTAACATGAATCAGTAAGATAGTACTTTAGACTTTTCAACAGGATGAAAATTTAATAGCCAAACATTTCAAGTGTTATTCCAACACTCTTCATCAGTGAAATCATGTTTACACAGGATTTCTGGAACGAGAAAAAAACAGGTTCTAAATAAACAAAACAACTAACAGTTAAGTTTAGAACGTTTTTTTTTCTCGTTCCAGAAATCCTATATAAACATTTCACTGATGAAAAGTGTTGTAATAACACTTGAAACGTTTGGCTATTGAATTTTCATCCAGTTGAAAAGTCTAACTGTCTATCTAACTGATTCAAGTTTTCTACCCTGGATGACTCTTCTCAAACGTATACAAAGTATCATGCTTTGTAGAATTATAGTGACCAGTTATACTTCAGGAATAATTGAACGACAACGCTTGTTGAATTAGAGATTCAGCTACAATTGACACAAATCAAAATAGCTCACTATACTACTGGAGGATTTGTAGGTCTGATTTGTCAAGATCACAAGAAAGTTTCCCAATGCCGTGACCTTCATTGGAAAGTGTTGTGTAACAGTGTCTCAGATGGCTGGAGATGTGTGTGTACTGTAGCCATACAGTCTAGTACCCTGAGCCTGGCTTCGGGGCAGGTAGATAGGAGAGTTTGCTTTTAAGTTTCAGTTAAAACTTTAAAAAAAGGCTTTTGAAGCATGTGGTTTCTCAGCCTTGATATTGCAATAACTTCTGTGTATTGAGAATTCTGGTTTTGTTTTTGGTGAGTCAGTTTGTATGTTTGCTTGTGTTTCCAAGTTATTTCCACATGCTAAACATGCACATGTGTGTGTGTCAGTTTGTATGTATACTTGTGTTTCCATATTTATTTCTGCACGTTAGACGTGTGTGTGTGTTTATATGAAACTGACAGGAAGCTGGATCAAATGTCCCAGAAACTTCTCAGAAAATGTAAAAAAAATGCACAAAAACTCTATACGTAATTACCTCCCTGAGGTTCGAAATCTCTGGTTTCTGTATTTTTACTGTGGAAGTGGACTGTAGTGTGTTGTCTCCAGAGGTATACTGTAATGGAATATTTGGAGGCTGATGTCAGTGTTTCTAAGGGAGTCAGACAGGTTCTGGCTGGTTCTGCCCTGTTATATCTCATCCATTGAGTTGTAGTTGTGAGTACGCTGTGTCTGTCAGAGATGTGTTGTAGTAACACAAGCCAGGAGACTGTTGTGGCTTGATGACTTGACTGGCAGTGGCACCAATCTCTCCAGATGACATTTCTTTCTGCTAAGAAGGTTTAATAGCAACCATTTTTTCTAGGAAAAAAGGAAATGGAACAGTGACATCATAACCTTTACTAAGAAGGCTACTGTATATGTCAATTTTTTCATGGAACATTTTTTATAGGCAGTGCCTAATTGAGGTATTAGGTACAAATGCTACTGGTATTAGGTACACAGCCCTACACATATCCCACCACGATTCATAGTGATAGAAGTCCATAAGTATAAATTATCACAGCCAAATCATCCAAGTTTGACTGTTGCCATCAGTTTTCAAGGTCAAAAGGGACAGCGTGACATTGATATTATCCAATGTGCTGTCTCCGACCATGAGTCAAATTATTACCTC